TAAAACGAGAACTGGGAAAATGGGCACATCTGCCCAGAGCAGAGCCACTAGGAGAGAAAGCCAAACACAAAAAAGGGTGATGAGACTTTAGAGAAAAAAAATTCAACTATGCCCTAGACACAGGGACAAAATGGCTTCTTTGCCCCTCCAAGATCCAGTGCATCTGGAAGTCTTTGGTTTTTCCTTTAAATAAACTGTTCTTTACTTGAATAAAATTTGCTTCTTTCTGCTTGACTAAAAAAGTCTAAACTCCTTTTTATGGCTTCATGGAACAGGAACCTGTGGTGGTTCAAGAGCTAAATTCCTGACTTTTCACAGCCAGACAAAGGTGAAAAGCAGCAGCCGCAGGTAGCAGGTCACACCAGCTTCAAAAATGGGGCAGAAGGGGGCAGGCAACTATGCCCCCTAGAAGGGAGCATAGACTTTTAGGCAAGTCTAGAAGGAAAAGAGCAAAATAAAAACACGAGCCGTGGTAAAGTCTGCTATTGTCAACCTCTCCATCGATCTCTCACTCACATATCTGTCTCTTGCTTTTTTTTTTTTTTTAAAGATTTATTTGTTTATGCTCAGAACTGGCATACAAGCCAGAGGTTCCAGGGCAGTGAGAGTATCACCAGAGACAGAGTGGGGAGCAAAACAGGCAGATCTACGAAGTACACTGCTGAGGGGAGCAGCTGGCGGGTCAGGAGAGGTCTGCCTTGCCTATGGATCAACTTCACCTCTAGGATCACCTCCAGGGCGGGGGATCTGGGGATAAAGCTTGCACTGAAGGGGCTGTGGCTAGCTTGCAGTGCTGCACTTAAACCCATTGTGCCACCAGGGAGAGCCATAATTTGTATCTTTCAAGTGTCTCCCTACATGTCCCCCCAAGTCCCTATTGCAAGTCCTAGGTGAGGAAGCAAGGGCAGTTTCTTCTTATGTCTCTGTTCCATGTGCCTATTCCAGTTTCCTTCTTCCTCTCCTTCCCAGTCTCTGTTTACTCTAGCTTCTCCTCCCTGCCCAGTTCCACCCTTCCTTTGGTGTGGCAAGGAATCTGGAAACTCCCCTTTCCCTGGGGACCACCCTGTTAGAACTTGGCTCTTGCTAACCCCTCAGCTCATCTGATTCTTTAATTTTTCTTAATTGATTTTTAAATTTATTATTATTTCTTTATTTTGCATAGAATAGCTGGGTGTCTGCCAGAGGGGGATGAGCGAATTCACCAGAGAGAGAGTGGGGTACAGAACAGGTGTATTTACTAAAACACACTGCCGAGGGGAACAGCGGGTGATCGAACTCAGGCCTCATGGGTGATAGCACTGAAACTTAACCCTAGGCCAGCACAGAGGCCCCTCACCTTATTCTTTTCTCTCTTTTGCTCTTCCTGCTTTGGCCATCCTGGCTTCTTCTCAGTCTCGAGCACACTCAGCCTGAGTCATTTCAGCCCCATTCCAAAGGTCGCCTTCTGTTTGGAACTCCCATTTTCCACATGTTCATCTGGCTGCCACATTCTCTCTATTCAGTAGCCTGTCTGTTTCTCTATAGGAGGTACCATGATGTAAAATCACACACATGGACATGTGCATAGGCATGTTTGTGAGCATGCGCCCATTGTTCTCATTTATTCTGTCTCTTTCACCTGCATATCCTAGCTCTCACAGGACATATGCAGCATGTCATATAGTATGTGCTCAGCAAATAGTTGTTTAGTAATTGCTTTAACATTAAACTGTTGATTTACAGTATTTTTACTAGGCTTGGGGTTCCTTGGTCCTTGACTATAGACATAAAAGAATTCAAGCTATGACTAGTCAAACCAAAGCAAAGTTTATTTAGAAACAGTAAACGCAGGAAGAGGCTCAGGTGGGCAGAGTCCATAGATGGACGACTTCGGGGAAATGCCAGGGGTTCCTGGTCTAAATAGGATACAGGGGGCTGCTAACTCCATCCCTGTCTGGGGTTACTGCACAGAACCCATGGGGTGTTAGCCTATCAGTCCAGGCAGGAGTTTCTAAGTGAATGCCACCCCCCTTCTACTATGCTCTCAGGGCATAGTTTAATTAGCCCAGCAGCAGATTGGGGTGGGAGGGGTCCCTTCTTCCCTTTGGAACTACTGGTGCTTTATCAGCCAGCCCCTTTGTTGGTTGAGGTTGGAGGCTGCATTTCTCTCCTCTGGATGTTTCTTGGCTACTTCCAGGTTTTATTGGTTTTGTCAAGTGTTTTCTGGGTTTGATTTTTACAATGATCCTGAGAAGTAAATGTGTATCTTTTCTTATCACATCCATTTTTCTTTTTTATAAATTTATTATGAAGATAATGTTAGTATATAACAGTGTATATTAAGAATAACAGAATCACACCTTTTCATATGTATGTTACCAAATCATACCTACCACCATGGCACCACAGTCTGCTACCATTGTCTGTTGGGCACATGTATACTGTTTCTTGCCTCAATCCTCCCCTTCTGATATACTCATTTACATCATGATATCTAGAGTTTGTTTGGATTTGTCTGTCCCTTTGTTTTGCTTCTCTATTATATTCCATGTCTAAACAAAATCATCTGGTATTTCTCCATCTTGATCTGCCTTATTTCATTTAGCATATTATAGACCCTCAAGGTCTATACATGTTGTCACAAAAGAGAAAATATCATTTTTTTCACTGTTAAGTCATATTCCATCCTGTATTTACATACATTTTCTTAAACTATTCACTTCCTGTTGGGCATTTAAGTTATTTGCATGACCTAGTTATTGTACATAGTGCTGCAATGAACACAGGAGTGCATATATCCCACTGAATAGTTGTTTTTACATTCGCTGTGTAGACACCTAGGAGTAGAATTGTTGGGTCATATAGGAGGTCTATTTTTAAAATTTTGAGAAAATTCCATACTGCTTTCCATAGGCACTGGACCACTCTCCATTCCCAACAACAATGTAACCTAAGAGGATGCCTTTATCTGCATATCCTCACCAGCACTTGTTTTTGGTCTTTTTGATATAGGTCATTCTCACAGTGGGAGGATGGTATTTCATTGTTGTGCAGATTGGTAAGTGATGAACATTTTCCTTGTGCTACTGGCCATCTATATGGTCTCTTTGGAAAAGGTCCATTTAGCTTTTCAGCTCATATTTTGATTATTTATTTTCTCTTTGTTTTTGTTGATCCTGGATATCAACTCTATATTGGTTGTATAATGGGAAAGTATTCCATTTGCTAGGGTGTCACAATCCCCTTCTTTTTTTCCAGAGATAATTACCATTCTGACTCTGTGACCTTTTTTCTAGAAGTTTTATTACCAGGGAAGGCATCCTAGAGAATATAGATTAGCATCACCAGCTGGTCAATCTTACAAAAATGGATTCACACCATTAATGTTCTTTTGTTTTTGGCTTCTTGCACCTACTGTTAAGGGGAAGGATGTCCTAAAGGAACTCTGCAGAGTATTGTGGACTCCACCCCCTACTCCAGCTTTCTGGGCGCTATCCCCTACTCCAGTGATTGGAAACTACAACTCCCAGCAGTACCAGGGACCCAAGGGCGGAGGGCCCAAGGAATGAATTCTGGGACATTTGGGGGATAAATAGGGCACCATTGCAACTCTTGCTCTCTCTCTTGGGAAACAGCTCTCTGGACTGTGTGACTTGGTGTGTTCAGTCAGCCTAGCCTTAAGGTATTCCACTTTAACTTTGTATCCTGCTCTCTTTCCCTTGGTTGTTTCCTATTCCTTTCCCCTTTTGTAAATAAATCCGTTATTGGCCCTTTTGTGTGTACCTGCAGTGTTAACTGAGTTGTGAGCATGCAGGCGAGGCCCCACAGACAGGCAGCCCAGTCCACTCTGGCCTACCCTGTAACACTACCATTGTGAAATTCTTGTTTTATATTTGTAGTTTGTTCAGTTTTGTTGCTGTATAGCATTCCAATGCTGTTTGTTAATTTTTGCATATAATGTACCACAACTCACTGAACTAGTGGGCCATTGATGGGCACGAGTTGTTTCTGGCTTTCTATTCTTATGAACAATATGCCAGAACAGCTTTGTAATGTGCCTAGATATACTTGAGTAAGAATTTTCTCTCAGATATATACCAAGGAGAGGAACTATAGATCTAAATAGACTTATCTTCATATGTGTGTGTGTATATACACACACACACATATCTTTACTAAATAATCCTCAACAACTCTCCAGAGTGGGCATACCAGTTTATACTTTTATCAGTATTAGAGAATTGCTAATTATACACCAACAATTGTTAGTGTCTAATTTTTGCTAAGCTAGTGGATGTAGATTTTTTAGTAATGAGCTCGAATATCTGTCTACTGGCTATTTGGATTTTTTCAGTTTAAAATCATCTGTAATGTTATTTTACCTGTTTTCCTTTTGGAATGTAGTTTTCTTTAGGAGTTGTTACATATCCTAGTTCCTAGCTTTTGTCAGTCATCTCCATCACAGGTATCTTCTCCCACTCTGTGATTTTTCTCTTTTTGATATACTTTTAAGTATAGGTGTTTTGTTGTTGTTTCTTTAATTTGGTCAAATTTATCAGTCTTTTAGGGTTTGTGCTTTTTCTATCAGGTTCCCCTATTCGTTTGCCATACTTTATTGTTCCCTAATTCAGTTGACTCATGAACATTTACGGACAGGAATTCTTTCTTTCCTTCAGTTTTTCTTCTAATTCAGAGTCCACATACCTGGGTCTGTTTCACATCTTAGCCCTTTATCGCAAAGAAGATAAAGATATTTGCTAATAAAGAACTGTTTTTGCTTATTCACTTACTTCCTGTATTGTTCTTTAGTTTTGTAGTACCGAAAATACCAGGTTGCTAGCCTGAGAACAAGAAGCAACAGAGCCCGGGAGGGCGGGAGCCAAACTTCTGGACCGCCCCTTCCTCGGCACTGCGTCCCCAGCGCCCACCTTTCCCCGTGGGCGCGAGGCGCAGGCGGGGCTACTTCCGGATTCACGCGCCAAGCCACCAAGTGCGCCTGCGCCGCAAGGTCTGGCCCCGCCCCCTCTGTGCCTCTATCCGGCCGCGAGCTCTCCTCGCGAGAGACTCAGCGCTCATGCTCGCGGCGGGGGTCGGAGGTCAAGGCGAGCGTTTCCCGGGCCACGGCAGGAAGATGGCGGTGGAGTCGCGCGTTACTCAGGAGGAAATTTAGAAGGAACCGGAGAAGCCCATCGACCGGGAGAAGGTGTGGGGTCTGGAGAGAGGTGGAGTTGGGCCCGGCAGGCAGAGAGCGGCCTAGGGTGGAAAGCAGTGGTAGTTTGCGCCCGGGTGGTTCGCAGGCCTTGGGAAGGGAGGGGAGCGTGGGACCCGCCGCCGCGTTAATTTCTGCCCTGCGGGTCCCGCCTCTCCTGTAGACGTGCCCCCTGCTGCTGCGTGTCTTCACCACCAACAACGGCCGCCACCACCGAATGGACGAGTTCTCCCGCGGAAACGTGCCGTCCAGCGAGCTGCAGATCTACACTTGGTGAGAGCGCGGGCGGGGGGGGGGGTGTCGGGCATTAGAGCAAACTAAGGAATCTGCTTCGTTAGTGAGGAAATAGTCTCCCTGTTCACAGCTTCTGCCAACTTGGGGTCTTTGTGCGCAGTTCTCAGGAGATTACAGGGTTTAGCTGTTAGTTAAAAAAAAGAATAGCGTATATACGTTTAAGGTTGAAACTTTGGGATTGTAAAAAAATTGACAAACAGAGGCGGCTCCCACCATTAGAGCTGCTTGATGTAAAAATAGGTCCAGAATTAAATGCGGTGGCGGCTAGAGGAGCGTGGTAAAGGGGAGTGATACTCAGAGCATTCCCACGTGATGTTAATCCTGATACCGTTGCATTCAAAAAGATAAACAGGAAGTAACTTCTGATCCGGTGCTCAATAGGAAAACTTTTGAGGTGCGGTTAGTGAAGACTTAACCCTGCATGTTATTTTTTCCTTGTACCTTCCAAACTCCCCGGAGTCTAAGAACCGTTACATTCTGCAAGTTTGTCAGTGCCTTGGTATGACACAGTAAAGACTTTTCAGTGGCAGTAGAAGGTGTATAATTTTTTTTAGATGTCTATTGTAGGGCCCTCCCTAGTGGCGCAAGGGGTTAAGTCTCAGCACTGTGAAGCTTTGGGCCTGGGAGCTAACCCACATGGCGTGGTAGACCTCTCCTGACCCTCCCCTGCTCCCTTCAGCAGTGTACTTCTCATTCTGCCTGTTCTGCTCCCCACTCTGTCTCTGGTGAATCCTCTCACTGCCTTTCCTCCCCCCCTCCACCTCTGGCCTACACCTCAGGTCTTGTATGCATGAATAGATAGAATAATCTGTAAAAAATAATAAAATGTCTATTGTGGTGAAATGTATAACGTGACATTCGACATTCTAACTTTCTAGGTATACTTCTTTAGTGGAATTGATTACATTCACATTTTTCAGCTGTTACTGATGGGCTTCTGACCATATGCTGAGAATCAATGAATGAGGTCCTTTGGTTACCTCTGAGAAAGGTTTTGGGGTTTATCATTCAGCAGTAAACTGCTAGTTTACTAAGGAAAGAGACACTTATACAGAGAAAAGTAGACAAAGTTGTATCTAGAAGGGCAGGTTTGTGAGGAAAAGGGAAAGGAGAAGGCCAGCAGAGAGCTGCTGACTTTTGCCAGAGCAAAGAGTAACTTTATATAGTGTTCCTTAGCAACATTCACTCCTTTGGAAATCTATCACATCCAGGGCCTGATTGGATTAATCTGTGATGACTGGCAGTCTCTATATTCTCAGCTTTTAATTATTTCTATACTCATTTCTAGTTTCTGTCCTTGTGAAGCTTCCATCATAATTTTCTACTCTAAGCCACCATCAATATCATCAGTTTCCAAAACTTTTTCACTCCTTTCAAGAGAACTTCTGTAACCAATAAGCAAAAGTTCCCCATACCTTCCTTTCCATAGCCCCAGTAGACGCTGATCCACTTTCAGTGTTTTATATAAATGGTACATAACAATATTTGTGTCTATTTTCACTTGTTTTCAAAGTTCCTAGGTTGTAAAATGTAGCAGAACTCCATTTTTTTTTTGACTGCATAAAATTGGCATGTATAGCTATATACCACATTTTGTTTGCTTACCTGTTGATGGGCCCTTGGGTTGGTGAATGCATCTATGAACATAGTATACAAGCATTTGAGTCCTTATATTCATTCTTATGGGTGTGTGGATCTCTTACTGTCCAAAAGTAAGACTCTCTTATTTGGTATAAGATGGTAGGTTATTTTTTGAGCTTGAGAATGCTAAAATATTTTTCTTATAATGGTAATGACGTTCTCAGACCCCAAAAGTAAGAATTCATACCAAATAAAAAGGAACCTTATAACCAGAAGTGGGGTTGCTGGATCCTGTAGTCATTCTTTGTTTAGAAGTCACTAGACATTTTCAGGGTAACTAGATCATTTGATAATCCCCAGTTCCCCAAAAGTTGTGTAAATATAAGTGTATAACTAGAATTCAGGTTTTGAAGATTGGGACTGTAGGTTTCTTTAGAGGTACTTTGTAAATTTATGTAGTGATGTAATTGTATTATAGTTGAGCATCATTACAGGATAAAAATTTCAAGAAGATGTGATTTACCCCATGGCAAGAGCTATTGGTGAAACTTCTCTGTTCAGAGAGTCAAATGTATCATTGTATCAGGGTTTAATCAGGATAACAGTATAAGATACATATTTAGGATTCATTGTGATCCTTTTGCAGAATATACAAATGTCTAGTCATTTTATTATGTATAACTAAAGCCAGTAGTTATGTCTCCATTAAAGAAAAAAAGACTTATTACAATGAATTGGCTTCCGCAGCTGTGGGAGCTACATAAGTTCCTAATCTAATCAGAGAGGGTCAGCTGGCACTCTCCAGCTTGAGCTGAATTGTCCCCGAAAGGGATGCCTCAACTCTACTCTTAATGCCTTTTCAACTGATTGAGGTAGGCTCACTCTGAAACTTAGGTTTTCCAGGATAATCTCCCTGATTTAAAGCCAGCTGGTAGTAGACTTTACCACAAAATCCCTTTCAGTCATGCTTAATGTTAATTTTGGTAGAATAACTGGTAACTAGAGTGCTACCAACTCAACACATACAAATTGCCCAGTAGGGGTCTCCCTGGTGGCACAAGGAGTTACGGTGCAACACTGTGAAGCAATCTGCAGCCACTGTGGCACAAGTTTGATCCCTGGCTAGGGAAGTGACCCATATGGCATAGCAGACCTCTCCTGTCTCATATACTGTTCCTCTCAGCAGTGTACTTAAGTCAGTGCACCTGTTTGGTTTTCTACTTTGTCTCTGCTGTATCCTCTCGCCCCCTGCACCTCTAGCCTGTTCCCTAGTTCTTGTATGCATGAATAAATAAATCTTTATTTGAAAAAACCACCCAGTAGAATTTCATTTCCAAGCAAGCTCTTGGATTCCTTTCCCGTTTGCTCACGTTTTAGACAAGTGATCAGAAAGCAGCATTGACCACTCCAGCTACTGGTTTGGGAATGTAGTTCTTGGCAGGTAAGGCTTAGCTTGTGAAATCTGCTCTGATAAAAGATAG